ACATTCAAAAATGTCAGAAAATTCGAGAATTTTTGAATCAAAAATTCAAAAATTCAAAAATTCGAAAATTCAAAAATTCAAAAATTCAAAAATTCAAAAATTCAAAATTTTCGAGAACCTACTCATAATAAGCGTGACCATAACATAAACCTGTAATTTCATATCCACCCCAAATTTCACAAAAATTCCCAAAAAGAATCCGCCGAAAACCGGCGGAATAATAAATGGTTGACTGAAAATACTTATAGTCAAATCTAGCCAAGCATTGAAGAAATGTAAATTGAACATGACCCATTTGACATGTTTCATTGTGGGCGGAGTTTGAAATAAAATGCAGTAACCCCCAAATAAATGAATGGGAAATGAGAAAATTCCAGTTATATAAAGACATATTGAGAAATAATATGGATCAGTGAGAAACGAGAAAACCATGATTATCTGTAAAATTAGATTTTTTTTTCGAATTCTCAGATTCTCAAAAATAGAATTTTCTGTCCAAGTGTGACACTTTTCCACTATTTATATTAGAGAACAAGGGGTATAATTTGATTGGATTGTTTGTTTTCGGGTGCGCAATTTTCCATATTTTCCTTCTTCCGTGTCTAGATGAAATCATAATTGTCAGTATAAGAACAATAGTATAGTTTGGGATCTCTTGGGTACTTTTTAGGTACATCGTAACCTGAAAAGGTAATATTTTAGACTTTTAACACAGGTGGATCGCGAGGAACGTTATATGGGATCGCGCGGTGTTGTATATGCTCGAAATACGAAACATATGTGGGCGCATTGTGCGAGCATATAGGGTCCATGCGCCGACCAAAGCATATAGGATCCACGCCGCCGCGCAGCAGTTCCTCCCCTCCCCAGGTCCTAATATTCTCTGTAAACTGAAAATAGAGTTCACCAATACAAATTTATTGAAAATTAATAAAAATGACAAAAAAAATAAGAGAAAAAAAACATTTAAAAAAAAGAAAAAGCGAAAAAATTAAAGGTGGGGGGACAGGAGATTTTTCGTAGTTTTTTTGTAGCTAGAGTATGCATTCTACCGTCACGGTGTACAACGCTTAATTTATGTTTGCAATCGGGCGTGCGCTTCCTCTTTGCCCGCGTGGCTCAGTCGGTAGCGGTGCCGCACCCTCAATCATCGCCCTCACAAGTTCAACTCCTCGAGGGGCATATTTAAACGAAATTTCGAGAACATTATTTTTTTCATGTCCCCCCACCTTTAAACATTTTGCCTCCTGGCTCGCTGAACTCCATCTTTTCGTTGCCTTTCTCCCTCTTTACGTCCATTAGACGACCATCCAATCGAGAAGTTGATCTTGGTTGTTTTTTTTCAGAAAAACTGAATAGACTTAGAACATTTTCGATAATTTTACTTATTCACACCGAAAAGATTTTAGCACGTTTTTCATCAAAATGTTTCAAAAGCTCCGAAAGACTGAAGTCATAGCCACAAGAGTAAAATGTTCATTGCAACTTCAGTCAAAAAAATTCGCAGGTTTTTATTTTTCTAAACATTTTCGAGCATTTCAACCACAAAATTCACTAACCTTTTCGTTTTTTCTGTTGGTGCTGCTTCTTTCATTTGTCGTGTGGCCAGTGCAGAAGGTGAAAGTTTCAGCCGTCACCGAATCCCGAACTCCGATTCTAAAAATAAACTCATTGAGAAACTGAATACCATGCATGTTACGTACCTGTAGCTAATCACCGAAAACTTCTGGTTTTCAGCTTCAAGTAGACGAGCGAGGCGTTGAAATCCATCGGTGGGCCTAAAATAACTTTTTTTGTGGAATTTGTCGATAGAAACTTGAGGAAAACGGCTAAAAACGATGAAAATGAGTTTGCAAGTAAAAAAAGTAAAAAATAACCGATGAAATCGTATAAAATCAAGCAAAATCGAACAAAAACAGGCAAAAATATCTGCAAATTCATCGAAAATCTGTGTGTAGATTTACGGTAAACAACGCGCGATGCGGGATATCGGAGCGTCGTTGTGCACTTCTTCAGCGTAATTACACAATTAAATCGGCAAAAAAATCCGATTCATGTGAAAATATAGAATAATTTCACGTAAAGGAAGCAGGCAGAGCATCAGGTCAATTTGTGCTAACATAGAAACCTCATTTTGACATGATTTTTTGAAGTAAACCTCGTAACACGGCCTGCAGAAAATGTTGAACTTCTCAAAGACAAAATTCCGACAAAGTTCAATTGAATTCTTGTTCCAAGCCTAAAATCCAACATCTATATATGTTTTCCAAAAGGCAACATATGTCTTGGTAAACTATGATTTTAACCGGTTTTTTCGATAGTCAAACAGTCATACATACAATTCGTTGAGAACCAAAAATTTTATCCTGAGAATATCAAGAAGAGAGTTTCGAGCTATTCTTTGTGCAAAAAACAATTAAATGTTCTGTATTACATTGTATTCTGTATTTTATTCTGTATTACTGTCCTGTTCTGTAAATAAATGTTCTAACAGGTTTCCATGAACACATTAATAGAATGGCCTACTTCTTCCCTTTTAACTTTCAACTTTGAGCCAGTTTATCTGGGTTCCCGTGAAAAATATTGAAAAGTTGTTAACTGACAAAATGCTTTTGATATCATAATACACATTTTGTCCGTTGACCACTTTCTGATATCTTTTATAAGAAACCAGATATATAGGCTCAAAGCTAACCTAACGGTTCGGAGAGACATTGTATAAGAGTTTTTACGGAATATGGATCCTATATGCGAGCACGGACGGGGCATATGCTTTCCCTGTTAACTGAACGCCCACCACCACCGACCAGCAACAACCAACCCATATAGCGGGCATAACGAACGCTATATGCGCACATTCACAGTATGGGCCATAATGCGCCCATATAATGTTCTGCGCGATTCACCTGTGAAAGTATAACAGTGTAAGCGAAGAATGATCAACCCTAAACCTACCTTTTGTTGCAAAAACTTCGAATCCAATCAGAAATTTGGCAAAAAAAAAAAACAAAACACATACCAGACATAATTCATTAACATGAAGTGACAAAAATTTGTTTAGAACTTTTTTTCCACCAACAAAATTCGCGAAAAATTTTCCTTGTCGATTTGGTAAACAAAAAGTAAACAAAAAAGTTCAAAGAGCAAATTGTGAGGCATCTGATGAAATAGAAGAGGTCCTTGGCGTCAGATGACCAGCTGGAGAAGACTTCCTGGAATTTTCCAAATTTCGAGACTTCGAATTGACAAAAAAAGTCTCACCGGAAAAATGCGAACCAGTAAATTTCCAATTTCATAAACTGAAATATAAGTGGCGATAAATGCCGTCTGCCGGATCATGGACCTTTCTTGTTTCGTTTGAACTTTTGACAATTTTGCGAGTTTCGATTTTGTATGCATATAAAAAATCAGAACGAAATTCACAACCATAGCAATTACAGGGATTAGAATAGTGTATTGATTCTGAATCCGCGTGATCTGAAATTTAGAAAAAATCTGTGTATCCATAAATCCGGTTGTCCACACTCACCAAATGTCTGCTAGGAGCACACGCAGAGATGAAATTGACCGGATGCGCATGAAAATTTATAGAGCATTCTGAGAAATAGGGAATCAGAAGGACCAGAATAGACAGGAACTGAAAATTATCGGCTGTTCGGGTCACTGTTCTACTTACCAGGGATGTGATTTTATGTTTACTGAATTAACAATTTTAGAGTTTTCGGGGTTTTTTGAGACGTAAAATTGAATTCGTGAAATTCGTAATGGTGTTATTCGGCACACACGAGGTAAACAACCTCTACACAGATAAAATGCGAACGGGTACGTTACGGACGCTTCGCGTTCGCGCGCGGTTGAAATAGGAACCGCATACGGACCGCACGCGAACCGTTTTCAGTGAATAGCAACTAAATTAGATATGATAGAGCTCCACGAGTACTACAAAACGGTATTATTTGGAATACTGTATCATATCTATGAACAAAGTTACAGATCATAGATTTTCTCGCAGGGCCCGGCAGGCCCGGGGCGGGCCTGCTTCTTTTTTGCTCCTTTTGCTCTGTAACTCTGTTCATAGACAAGATACAGTATTCCAAATAATACCGTTTTGTAGTAGTCGTGGAGCTCTATCATACCTGATTGAGTTGGTTCGAATACATTGATTCTGAAAGAAGTTATGGCAAGGCCCGCGAAGGCCCGGCAAAGGCCCGGATTTCAAGTATGCTATTTACTAAGAACGGTTCGCGTACGTATGCGGTTCCTATTTCAACCGCGCGCGAACGCGGAGCGTCCGTAACGGATTGTTCGCGAATCACCTGAGTAATAGGAGGTTGTTAGTAGTATAAAAAGTCACGCTCTGGTGCAGTTTTCCGCCCACTTTTCCCATTTTAAAAAACCCCTCCAAATGGAAGGGTTTTAGGCAAATTCTTGATAAAATCATCAAAAACTTTGAATAACTTCAAAAGAAAAAACACTGTCCCTCATCCCGCTGACGTCTATTATGACGATGGGCTGTCATGTTTAAAAAAACCCTTTACTTCTTTCCATCTTCATACGTCACCAGAGTATATAATTGTCCTTTCTAGAACACTTTTGGGCCCGCCTCTAATTATTACCACTTTTGTCAAAATTTGATATCAATCTCCAAGGATAACCCAATTAATCAATCAAAAACGACCTTTTAAAATGACCCCCTATTTTCCCGAAAATTCCTCGGGCCCTCCATCAGGTGGTCAGCGCTCCTTTAACGCTCTGTCAGATTATCGTCGGCTCTCGTCAGCCTATTGCCACCTCTCCACTACGGAATAAACCAATAGTATACCCCAAGTCTCTCCACTACGGATTCATTCTTATTACCTTAAGGATCTCTACCGCGAGTTTATCACTTACCCAGTTTGTCTTAACTTTGAGCGATTATCCAGAACATGGGGGACGTTCAGTATCTTGATACCTAGCCATGAACCCCAAACATGGCGACTGTATGCATGCCTACAATCTTAACTTTGTGCGATTATTCAGAACTGGGGGACGTTCAGTGTTGCCAGCCGCTTCACTAGAGAGTGAATTTGACAACATCTTAGCCATGAACCCCAAACATGGCGTCTGCACGCGAGCAGCTTAACTTACGTTCAATGAGTAGAGGAAGAGTTCCTGAGAAGTTGCATTATTTTTTTTGAGCAGGCTTTTTTTTATTTTTAGAGAAGTTTTTTTGAATAAGATTTTTAAACAAGAGAAGTTAGGGGGCGTGTCCAAATCTTGTTCGGTTCATAGTTAGTGACGTAAAGGGGTTCACCTGCTACCACGGAAATGTGGAGCTGAGCAATGAATTGCCTTATTGGTGTTAAAGGGATTCACCCGCTACCACGGAAATGTGGAGCTGGGCAGTGAATTGCCTTTGGAGGGATCCGCCCGCTATCACGGAAGTGTGAAGCAGGGCAGCGGACTGCCTCGAACACAAGAAGTTGTCAAAAACGAGAACCGAACTCGAGTGGAACAGGGTCATGGCAAATTCTCTTACCACCTGAGCCACACGCCCTTATCAGTATGCACGCCATATTCAATATAAGACATGCCTCGTAATCACTGTTTCCAAGAGCACAAACTACAAAATGGGCAGAGTTCACAAGACACAATAACTGCTCAATGTAAATGCTCTCAGAGTTCAGAAAAAACTTGAGACCATTAACAGATGTAGATATCTTAAAATTAAAAGAGGATTTACATATTAAAAATTTTAGAGGGGTGTATATGCGCGATTGTCTTCCTGATAAACCGCAAAAAAATGAAGTTGCCATCGTAAATCTTGATAAAAAGGAAGGCAAGGGAACTCATTGGGTTTGTTATAAGAAGGATATGCACAATCTATATTATTTCGACTCTTTTGGTCTAGACCCTCCCGACGAATTAGTCAGATATTTGAAACAAAACAGCCCAGATTCCCCAATTACACTTTTTACCTTTCAAATTCAAAACTTTGATACTCATCATTGTGGCTATTATTGCCTACTTTTATTGAAACTGTTGGAAAAATATGATTTCAGGAATGTCATAATAAATTTGAATTAAAAATTTTCAAAAAATTACACAATAAATGAACTTCGATCAATCTCAGTTATTTAAATCTCCGCGCAATATAATCGTTTTAGGAAACACAGGAAGTGGTAATCATCCTTTGTTAGACATGTTATTTATCAAGAATTTTTAGCTGGAAGGGGTTTTGACTTATATCTTTTTATCTGTGCTCAAAAACGGAAACAGAAGAAAATGATTCATGTAATATAGTTTTCAAAAACCATCGCATAGTAATTGATGATAAATATCCAGTGGATGAGATGATAAACAATTTCAAAACATGGGGCGAAGAAAACGTAAAAAAGAGTAAGCTAGACGGCAAACCCCTTCCTAAAGTATTAATTTTATATGATGATGTTTCTAAATTCTTAAAAAATAAGATGAAAGGATTTGGGGATATCAGTAGACATTTTAATATGTGGAATATGTTTTTGGTTCATAGAACAACATATCTTGATGCTGATACTAGAGGATCGTGTAGAGTTTGGATTTTCTTATCTGAGGTAGATAAAAACATAGATCCATTTGTATCCAAGTATGTCGATAACAATAATTTCGATGAATGTGTGTTAATATATGATACAACAGCACATGGTAGTAAAAATGAACAGATTTCTTATTTAAGAAAATCTGACATAAAATTAAACTATAATTCTGATATTGTTTTAAACAAAACATCGGGAATTGATAAAGAAATCGCAGCTAACTTTTTCTGTAATCCTGAGGCCATCGACACTACTGGGTTTAGTGAAGAAGATTTTGCAAGATGGAAAGTATTTCTAGCACACTTCAAAGCACTTAATCTTAAAATTAAACTAAAAGATCTTCTTCAACGACCTGATGAGAAATCTTCGATTCCAATAGAACGGAAGACATTAGTAGAACGCGAAAAACCATTTGATAGTCGGATGAATTTCATAAGACCTAATGTGAAGTTTTCGATTCCAGAAGAAGAAGCTTCAACTTCAAGTGAAGAAAAAATATATGCTGATTCTCCATCAGAATGCGAGTCTGAAACAGATAGTCGTTCTTCAGTTGAATCGATAAGTGAAATATTGAGTAGGATTTACAACTAAATTTTGATTCGATAGTGTCCAAAAGCTAGGGAGTTTATGTTATCTACAAAATATCTTTTAGTCTCCTTATCCTTACCAATTATATTATTTAATACAACTTTATTTTGTCTTACACTACTAATTTCATGTTTGCTGGAGGAAATAAGCGTTTGCTGTTTTCTTTCAATCGTTCTATTTTCTAAACAATTTTTATAATCATTGAAAGTCATTTCCTTTTTGACTACAGACTTTTTTATTCCTTTATTCTTCTTTTGTTCTGATCCCTCATCAGTTTTAAAAGCATATTGTTTCGGTCTAAAAGCAACAATTTCAGTCATTATTTTACCATTTAACTCATCTTTGAATTTACCAATTACTTTCTTGTTCTCAATGCTATGAAGTTTATTTTCTTTTGGATAATCCGAAAAATCAAAGTGTTCTTTCATAGCTGACATATCTTCATAAACATCATCAGTTTTAACTTCATAGATAAAAGAATCTGTATCTTGATAGCACAGTCTTAAATTGGATGGATACTTGGGAAGCATAACATCATAATGGAACTCATACATTAGGTATTTACTCAAATCTAGAATAGACATCCCCACATAAATTGGTTTATCTAGTTTTATACCTTTCTGAGTCATTTCAACTAAAATCATATTCTTATTTATAATATGTCTCTGTTTAAAATTATTGCTACCAGCTAGTTTCATGACCTTATTCATATCTGACACCACTTTCACATCCACTCTATGTCTAACATTCTCCATAGTTTTGCCAAATACAGAATTGTTCATAAGTTTGAAGAAGTCTTTCTCAAAATCATTTTTTGCATTTTTCCTCAAGTTGGTATTCAATTCTATGTAAGGAGCTAGCCAATTGCTTTCTTTAAAAGTAACTATACGATGAACCTTTTTTAACATTAAACCATGCTCTAATACTTGTAGTAAATTCTTATAATGAATCACATAATTTCTTTTTGGACTAAAATCATTAATTAATTTATTGGTAGAACCAACTCGTTTATTTTCTGGACAAAATGGAAGATCATTATGCTTATCATGAAGACTATCTGGATAATCTAAGTCAACTTCAAGTATGCATCCTCTGCCTTGAGAATTGAGATTTTCTAACATTTCCACACTAAACTCTGCAGCATTCATAAATTTGAAATCATCGTATGGTAATTTTTGACTCATTGCCCATCCATAAAGATTATTAGCATCTAGATAAAGTAAGTATTTTGATTCCTCTTCAGGATTATAATTTGACATGTACTTATTGTTAGCCTTAGAATATCTCAACATAGCATTACACATACCTCCCCTGATACCTTTCTCAATAAAGTTATACATTTCAATATCTTTAATTGTTTGTAGCTTAACTCCAGTTTTGAATAACATTGCCTCCCAAGCTAATCCGGGAGATGTATAGTACCAACATGGATCTAACTTGTATTCTTTAAGAGACACATTTCTGAAAGTTTCAAACACATCAGCTAATAGTAACACATCATTAACCATGTAAATTCTAGTGTAGTCTTCTAAAGTTTTACAATTTGTTTCATTCCATACCTTTAGAGCATATTCATAACTCTCACTGCTAATGTTCTCACTAGATAAACTATTATAAAAGTTTTCAATTGGAGGGAGCTCCGTGTTAGAATATTTTTTGAAGGAATCCATGAAGTCATATGGATATACACCTTTTCGTCTTAATAGACTAAATATATTTTCATTATCGTAATACTTTTTAGTAATAACACATTCATCATTTTGTAGGTTACTGCTGAGATAATCTAGACTTGAAGGCATGAATCCTAAACTATCTAAGAATCTTATTTCATATCTTTTACGATCTTCATCATGAAAGAAATAACTAAAACTAATGAACTTCTCTATATTGGCTGAAATGCTTTTAATTTCTACACCTCTTTTCTTTAATAAGTCACTAGATTTCTCATCACTGATAATGAGGTGTGAATCATAGCCTTTAAGATTATGGAAAAACACTGGTATAAAATTATTTCTACGTTTCAATAAGTTACAAGCGTTACATAGAGGTCCTCTGTATAATCCAGTCCAATGGTCGTGATCTCTAACTTTATCCCCATGAAACATATTTCCACATGCAGGGCAAGATTTACAACTATTGTATGATTTTAATTCTTCTTCAGTCAATTGTTCTATTTTCATATCAGCGATGTTCAATAGCTTTTCACTTATGTTCAGGATATATTCATTAAATTTCAAAATAGTATCGTATCCAACATAGCTTACCATGTCATAGATTTTTTGTGTGAAAGAATCTACAACGACTACACAGAAGGCAGAAGCTACATGTTTTCCAATATTTTCACTCCATGACTGCTTAGGTGAGTAATTCACACTATCAATTTTATAGATAACAGATTCAAAATCTGCATAGCAAACATATCTGTGTTTCTGAGTTTTCTGAATCCCATCAAACTGAATATAATCTTTTGAAGGTTTGATCATTTGGATTGGAGAATTACTCCTACAGTCGTTTAAATGGTTTTCAAATTTTTCTTTTGTTAAAAAGTTATTATGACATCTAATACAAAATTTATTTCTTGTGCCATTTTTGTTATTCATTAATCTATCTATATTCTTAATTAAACAATAGTGACCTTCTCCAGAATTATCCGTTACCAGCAAAAGATTTACGACTCGATTTATTTCTACTTTAATGTTTCTGGATACTTTATATGAATCTATTTTTTCTTTATCCTCAATATTATGAGTGAGAATGTTGACAGCTAAGTTATTTTTTTTCTCAAACCTATCCACATCTTTAACCTGGAAAGGAAATTCAAATCCATCAAAGGTAATTTTAGAAACATGATATTTATATTTAGCTACTCGCTCGGAGTTTTCTTCTACTGGAAATAAATGAGCTAAGATACACCACATGAAACACTTATCATCTTTATTTTTTATATTGATTACTGCTTTCTTATTTTTAATCCAATCAGGTAGTTCTATATATTTTGATCCTGATAATGGTCTGATTCTAGTTTGAAACATTCTTAAACCTATGATTCTATTAAGTCTAAAACCAGATCCTCTACCTTGATTTTGATCTAGTCTGTTTATCAAAACTGATTTGACTGTCTCGAAGAAGGCTTTCCTATCATCCCCCTTGTGTAATGTTTCATTTTTTGTATTCAAATGATCAACACGAAGTTCCTCAGCTCCTTCTTTCTTCATTTCGCATGTTAAAGAAAAATATATTTTCACACTATCATCGTAAACATCTTTTAAGACATCAGATTCTTTTTTAGCTAGAAATGACTGTATATCATTAGAATTTCCTGTGTGAACGGTATCCCTCAAAACATCTTCACTTCTTTGTACTCACTAAAAACAGCATTATCGAAAGGAAACAGATTTCGCAATTGAAGATTCGATTCTTTATTAGTAGCATCTTGGTTTTCTGCATTTTGTTTGTTATCTGATTCCTCGATTGCTTTTATAAGCTCTTTCATATTCATAGATCTAATTTCAGCATTGCTAAATGTTTTCTTAGAACGTAAAATAACACGTAGTTGATCCCTGGTATGTTTAGTGTAATCTACTACTTCCATTTATTACATAAGAAATACGAGTGAATATAATGATATAATTTTTAAGTAATAAATGGTCTCTGTAGTCGAAATTTATGATCCTAAGAAGAGAAATGACATCGTTCAAGGGTTTTTGAAGAATAGAAAAGAGCACAAAATCAAAAATCTACAGGAACGATCAGATTTGGAACATATAGAAGATCATAGGATAGATGTCTTCAAACCTATTTTGGAGTCTAATAAAAAGCTTCAAGAAGAAATAATTGATGAGAAAAATAAAATAGTCGAAACACTGAATAATTTCAAAGTACCTACCCAACTATCGATAGCACCTTCAAAAACTACAGCACCATCAACATCAAAGCTTCCCATTCTTCAAAAGAAATCACTCGATACGATTCAAAAAGAAACTCCCTCTCTACCTAGTTCTTCATCCAATTTAGTAGTCAGCAATCTAATTGTTAGTTATCTTCAAGATGGATCTGATAGAAGTAATGCTGGGTATTCAATCAAGTTTAACAAAGATGAGAAAAAGTATACTATAGGTAATAAGGGAATTACTTTTGATCAGAACATTCTGAAAGTCAACAATGAAGAGTACACAGCAACAGAAGGATTAATGGAATTACTAATCAAAAAGTCTCCCGACTTGAAAAAAATTCAATCTGATGATATTTCAAATTATCAGAAAATATTGTTTTGTTCAAATGCTTTGTATCAAGGGTTTGATAACACTAGTAAAAAATACAATTCCGATTCTAGTGACAAATGGAAATTTATTAAGAAGCACTACTTTGTTACAAAAGATAAAAACACATCTACTGTAGACGGAAGTTCCATAAAACCAAGTTTCAACTTCATTCCATCAGATACTAACTCTCTTATAAATTCTTTAAGACTATCCATCGCCTCATTTCAAGCAGGCAACAATGGGGAGTATAATAAAATTAATGCTATTTTGGATGAACTAGTTAGGCAGAAAAAGATCAGGAAGAAAGATTTAGGAGTTATATATTTGAATATTGGTATGTAATGTTATACAAAGTTATGTTATTTTATTTCATGTTATAAATCATAGATAAATGACGCGAGCTATTTTACTAGCAAAAATGTATATTTGTGATCAAGAGAAAGCCCCATTAAAAATCGATAAGACGAAATGGGTTAAACAACACAATCTTTCTATTCAAACTTTATATAGAGGTCTGAGAGAATTATCAAAAGATATGGACGTTAGTAAATATCTTGCTATCAAGTCAAAAGATAAATCAACTGCTGTTGAAAAAATATATGAAACTGAAAGAGTAGTAGAAGAAAAAACTTTGAAGTCGACTGCTAACTCGAATTTGATAAATCTCCTCTTACCTCGAAACTGATTTTTCATTTTTCAAAACCATGGGTCTTTTTCATGTAATAAATGGAGAAAAGTGTTGTTGGATTGAATACTTTAAATCGTTCAGTTCTAGAAATGTTTCCGGATATCGGAAAGTCTATTGACCAACTTAGTATTTATACTAAAAGTGAAATAACACGTGAAACTGCAATACAATATATTAATTCCTGTGAAAGCATTTATAATAGTATTGATGCTATCAAAGCGGATGACAGAAGTAAAAATGAGTTGAAAAAGGCTATGACATTCTTAGTAAGTCAGATAGGAATGAATGAATGTATTAAAGAAGTTCTAAATGCAGCAAGTATTGAGAATGTTCAGCTGAAACGTTTATTGAACGAAGAGAGATGCAACTATAACAAGCTAGCTAAGAAATATAAAGAAGAACAGAAGTCAGAACAAGTGGAAATTCCCAAACTTTCTCTAAGCATAACTAGGAATAATAGAAGAAATGCTATAACCAATGAAGAGATTATCAACATTGCAAATAATATTAATACAGATGAACTAGCCAACACCAATTTAACTAGAGTGAGCGCTGCAGGTGTTAAGAATGTTAAAACCGTTTATGCTAAGAAAAATGAAACTGGATTAGTTGTTAATCAGAAATAGCGTTTTTCATATTCATTATTTTCTCTTCTATTGTCAATTCTCGAGATGGCACACCTTTTCTGGAGCTGCTTCTAGCTGTATCAGTTTTCCTGAGAGTGTGGGTGAAATTTACTGTTGGTTCTTTCTTAGTTTTTTCTTTGGCTTCTTGGAAATTATCAGTAGTATAGTAATGGAGGATTATAGTACCGTTTCCGTTTTTCACCATTTTTTGAAATCTCCATTTTCACCCATATTTCCACACTTTCTCTTCTGTTTCCTTAAATTAACAAGACAATTAGCTGAAAAACACCCATTTTAGGCGAGCACGAAAATCGTACTCCGAGTACGAAAATAATACCACTTTTTTTCAACCTCTCAAAACAGTCAATTTTCACCCCAACTGATAACAAATTCTTTACACTTAAACACTTTTTCAACTCTCTTATCAAATTTGGTCTGATATCAGAATGGTAGAGTGACTGTCTGATAATCACAACGCCCGAGTTCAACCCCCACACGATATCTGCGATTCACGATATCTGCGATTCACGATATCTGTGATTATCCAGTTAATGAAGGCGAAAATATGCAAATGAAGGTGAAATATGCAAGAAAAAGTCGACCGTCGGAGCGAAAAAATTTCCTCATTAAAAATATGCAAAAAAAATCGGTCGTCGGAGTGAAAAAAAAAATCACCATGAAATAATGACAAAAAATCAAGCGAGCGAGAGAGTGTTTTCTTATCAATTCTTTACCATTATTTCGGTTTATTAAATGTTGTGCGAAGATTTGAAGCCACTAACAAATATAGATTTATTGAAATTGGCACAAGATTTACAAATTAAAAACTTTAGAGGAGTGTTTATGAGAGACACTCTTCCAGAGAAACCACAAAAGATAGAAGTGGGCATCATAAACCTGGACAGCTCAAACAATAAAGGTACTCATTGGGTCTGTTATAAAGTAAATAAAAGTGAATATTATTATTTTGACTCTTTTGGTTTGGACCCACCCGAGGAAATAATAAAATATCTTAAACGTAATACTTCAAGCGAAATCACGACTTCAACATTTCAAATACAAAAATTTGATACTCATCATTGTGGTTACTACTGCTTACTTATATTAAAATTATTAGAAAAACATGATTATAAAAATTCTATACTTACTCTATTTACTCAAATATAATAGGTCTAATGTGAATACCATCATCCATCACAACTCCTTTTCCATATACAGGGGATAATCCTATCTTTTTCTGTTCATAAGTTTTCATTTCTTGATTCTGATATCTAAATCCTTTATTCAATCCATCTATTGTTTGTTTATTTACAAGACACTCTAAATATTTTTCTTTAGTTAGAATAGAATTATTTCTTTTTTGCTGAACACCTTTAGAAGAAACTTTACATTTATCGTCATTTGTCCAAATACAATAAGTTTTACTACATAATGCTATCATACCGTCACCCTCTTTTTCTACTTTAAATAGTCCTGGAGTTCTTTTATCTATTCGACGATGCTCCTCTGTATCGGTCCGAGGAAACCAATTACATTTATCTCTCTCAAATTCCTCCTTCATCTCAGGTTTAATCAAATCCTCTAAAGTATTGTCAGTAATAGCCATATAAGCTGAATCAGTGTCCATTTCAATGTACTGGAAGTCAGACCTATCGACATACTTATCTATACAGTCGTAGTAGAATTTTAACATTCTTAGCTTTGAATCATCATAAACACTACAGGCAATTTGCAGAGGCATATTCTGTTTAACCTTTCTTGTTCTTTTTGTTACTTCGTAAACTCCATTATATTCCTCTGCATCATAATAAAAGTAATCGTTTTTAGCTCTATTAAATTGAACTTCATTACAGAAACTTACTTTTTTATGTTTGTTCTTATCCATTCCTGTTCTACCAAATGCTGAATTTCCCACAAGTTTGGCACCTTCCGAGATGATTGCATACTTTGAGTCAACATCTCCTTTTCGCCTTTCATCTGAGACCCAATCCATAAAGCCCTTGAAAATTCTTCTCCGTTTAGCTTCAATATATCCATATAGTTTTGTAACTACACAACCATGTTCTAACATCCATCTAAGTCTTGTAGATTTGATTAATATTTGTTTTGCTTTCAATGTTACAACTAGCTTCCTACTTTTTGTTGGTTTTCTTTCCAAGGATTTTAAAAGGTTTAAAGTATAATCTCCGCAGAGAGTTTCATCATATTCCTTGTTCACAAAGATTGGACACATCTCACTAAAATAGTTCCATTTATCTTTAGGGACTTCAATATCAACTTCTAAAAATCCGAAGAGCGAATTGTCTAAAACTTGTTTCTCTATTTTGCTCCAATCATCATTTTCTTTAAAGTATAGTTTTCCACAAGCCATCTCCTCTCCC